TGGTAATCCTTTACTCTATGTCTAAAAACCACATATGAGTGAGTACATATCATGTTTGTCTTTTTGTGATTGGATTACCTCACTCAGAATTGTTTCTTCGAGTTCCATCCATTTTCCTGCAAATTTCAAGATTCCATTGTTTTTTTCCTCTGAGTAGTACTCCGTTGTGTAAATGTACCACATTTTCTCTATCCATTCTTCAGTTGAGGGGCATCTAGGCTGTTTCCAGTTTCTGGCTATTACAAATAGTGCTGCTATGAACATCGTTGAATAGATGTCCTTGTTGTATGAATGTGCTACTTTTGGGTATATGCCTAGGAGTGGAATTGCTGGATCTTGTGGTAGACTGATTCCCATTTTCTTGAAGAGTCGCCATACTGATTTCCAAAGTGGCTGTACAAGTTTGCACTCCCACCAGCAGTGGAGAAGTGTTCCCCTTTCTCCACATCCTCTCCAGCATAGACTGTTATTGATGTTTTTGATTTTAGCCATTCTAACAGGAGTAAGATGGTATCTTAGAGTTGTTTGGTTACATTGTTTCTTAAAGGCAGGTTAATCTTAAACAGATTGAGTACATAGTAGGACAGCAGGTAAATATATAGCGTTAAATGACCTCATGGCAATTATGAAATTGGCTGTGAGGTCTGGAAAAAATTCATTCTCTTGTGGTCAAGAGATATATTTTCAGAAAGATGTATCACTACATCATCACTGCAAATAAATCAGCTGTGGCTGCTGTCTCTTTAAAAGGTGGTACCATTCAGCTGGCTTGATTTCTGGCATTCAGTCAGTGCCTGTCAGTGTAGGGTTACCACCCACTAGGACAGGATGGTGGTCAGAGGAAACAGAAGAGGCAGGGAACAGCCAAGATGGAAAACAGTTACTGTTTCTTTGACAAAGGTCTCTTTTATCAACACAGTATTTTCTCTTTTGGAAGTCTTAGTTTTGGTTAAACCTAGCTTTTATGCTATTTCCTTTTTTTCTATAAATACATAGTTTTAAAAATATTTCTGTTTTGCTGGGCATTGGTGGCGCACGCCTTTAATCCCAGCACTTGGGAGGCAGAGGCAGGTGGATCTCTGTGAGTTCGAGGCCAGCCTGGTCTCCAGCGTGAGTGCCAGGATAGGCGCCAAAGCTACACAGAGAACCCCTGTCTCGAAAAACCAAAAAAAAAAAAATTCTATTTTTAAGACTAATAACAGTTATACTGCTTATTCATGACAAGATTGTTATCTTCATAAACACTGTCATTTTGACTTCAGTCTTTCACGGTAAAATAATTCAGTAACTGTTTTACAGCTAATGACTGTTATGTGATTATTGTTTTGTGAGGAGAGATTATCTTGTGATGGTCACAGTCTGATTTTAGTTTTCAGCCATGTTGTGTCCATTCAGGTCATGAGTGGGACAGAGGCTGCACCAGCGTTGCACTAACATGCACTAGTTTGTAGTCCTAGTGAGTGGTGAATAAGCCCGTGTGCTTAACTTTTACTAGATATCACTGGGCAGAACACACATTCTATACAACCCTTTTCTGGTTACTGCTGTGAGTGTGTCCATAATTCACAGAACCCAACCCTCAGTGAGAAATACCAAACTTTCACAATCAAAAACTTGTGTGTGAGTTATGCTTTCGTGTATTAGGTCATAAACACCAAAATATCTTTATCCACTTTCTGAATTTTCTTGTCTTCTTTTTTGTTTGTTTGTTTGTTTTTGGTTTTTTGAGACAGGGTTTCTCTGTGGCTTTGGAGGCTGTCCTGGAACCAACTCTTGTAGACCAGGCTGGTCTCAAACTCACAGAGATCCGCTTGCCTCTGCCTCCTGAGTGCTGGGATTAAAGGTGTGTGCCGTGAAATTTCTTGTCTTAAGTACATTATCTATTATGTATACTTAGACTTTATGTAACAATGTAAGTGTGATAAATACTTTTATTTGATGTGTAGCATATAGTGTCTACGTTAGAAACTAAAATAGTCTTCTGCTTGGATTTTTTGGTCCTTTTACTAATAGCTGTGTGAATTTTGGGCAATCATAAAATCTCCCTTTCCATTTCATTATCTATAAAATTGGGCTTATTGTACTAGAGGAATCGTGCTAATATAAGAAGTAGTTTATGAATTGTCACTGTCTCTGACAATGAATAGTTAGCTCATCAAAAGTAGTCAAATTTTAAAGACACAAATGACTCCCAAGTATGTAAGCAAGGAAAAGGGGGTATTCCAGGAGACAGCATGGACATGAGGGAAGAAATTTGTGTCTTTGGTTGGTGAGATGCTTGGCAAGTAAAATCTCTGGTCCAAGCCTGACAGCATAAGTTAAATCCTGGGTCCCACATGTAGGAGGAGAGAACTGACTTCCCACAAGTTGTCCTCTGACCGCCTAGTACTGTGACATGCCCATGCCTCATATATATATACACACAAATAAGAAATAGACATAAAAAATAATTTAAAAAATTCGGATCTTTGTTCATGTTGGCCAGTTGAACACATATTTATTTAGATTTATTTAGTATAATTAAGTGGTGGCTAGAACATATAAATATGCACTGTCTCCATTTACTAAATGTGATTTTCATCATTTTATTGTTCTCAGGCAGAAAAGGCTAGTGTGGCTCACTTACTGGATTTCCTTGGTATGATTTTTCTCACAATGATTTGGGCTGTTTGTCCACGAGACAGCTTGGCACTTCTGGGTCAGTGGTTACAATCAAAGTTGCAGGAGGTAAGTCTGTGATGGCCTGTGGTAGACATGCAACAGTATCCATGTAAAGCAGTGTGTATCAGAACTATGTTAATGTCTGTTGGAATCAGATATGGAATTTTAGCCTGTTTTTTTTCATTTTTAGGTGCTGTTCCCATATAGCATTTAATTAAGGAATTCCACATCTGTCCAGTGATCTTTTGGGATTGATTAAAAGAGCTACTTCCCCCCACCCCTGTTATCACAGAGAAAATAATCTAGTCACTGGTCCTTTTCTTATCTCTGTGACAGTGGTGTCCTTCCTCCAGAGAGCTCTTCCAAGAAGCCTGAAGTTCTAAAGAACATGGGACTGGTCTTAGATTCATATTATTCTCCATTGTTGCCAGTACACAGTTAAACCAACACTGCCTACAACACACTGGGGGGGGGGGGCAATTTTAGGTGCGTTAGTGCTGATAGTAACAATAATCTGATGACTAAGTCTCTTATATTGTTCAGAATGCTAAGTCACTGTGGCTCAATCCTGTGATCCTCACAGTCATGTTAGCCAGATTGAAGAAGAAAGAACAGTTAGGTTCAGATGGTAGTGTTTCACGTTTGGAACTTTGTTCTGTCACTGACCTACTGGGCTGTCAATTGAGTTGATGTGGTTTCCCCTTGTTTACAAGGAGATGCTTTTCAAAATAATAGAATCAGAAGAATTGATGATAACAAAGGTCATGGGGCTGTTTTTCTCTTGAAATACTAAATGAACCCTGCCTCTTACACATAGTTTTTCAGCTTAATAATTAAACTGGAGAACAGGGATGCCTTTGGTATGGATTCTTTTCCCTCTCAATGACCCTGTTGTCAATAGATGTTTTTCTCTCTGCAGTGCCCCACTCACTGGGTTTTGGGAGCATAAAGGAATGCTGGCAGTGATGCACTGTAGAGTGGGAATTGCCCACATTCCTTGCCTGCCATTCACTTATTTACCATGATGACTGAATGGTACACTACAGCTCTGTTAACTCAGAAACTCAGAATTACTGATGTTTTAGTCTAGATTATTATTGCTGTGGGGGCTTGTCCTGCTATTGTGGGTTTTCTGATATATGCAGCCTCTACTCAGTAGATGCCCATGGTTCTTGCCTTCAACAGTGTCTCCATGGTTCAGGTGGTTAAGAGCCTGTGTTACTTTTGTAGAGGACCTGGATTCAGTTTGGCTCCCAGAGCCCAGGTGGTGGCTCACAACCATCTGTAATCAGGGGATTAGATGCCCTCTTGGCCTCCGTGTGCACCAGGCATATGCATGGTGTCCAGACACACAGGTAAAACACTTGTACACATAATTAAAATGAATAGAAAAATAATTTTTAAAATGCCCCTGGAAGCTGGCATGGTGGCATACAACTATAGTCTCAGCTACTTGAAGAGCTAAGGCAGGAGGTTTGCTTGAGTTATGTATTTGAGATGACTTAGGTAACAACACCATGACCTTGTGACTTCAGACGTTTACGGTGTCTCCAAGAGTCAATAAACAAACAAACAAATCACACCAGCGGAGAACCAGTGCTTTAAAGTGCTTTACATAGTACCTGGCACAAAGTAAGAACTCTGTTAATAGGGATGATTAATTTTATTGCTGGCCCCTGTAATCCTCTGTGCAATCTGAGGAGTTAGTTATCGTTATTAGCTCCATTTTGCATATGACCCTATGAGTTCTTCTGTTGAAGCTGATGCTTCATTGGGTTAGCACACTCAGTGGTGCACACTTGGTACGCACTCAGCCTGATTGCTGACCCCAGTTATGCAGTTCTTCAGCCTAAAACAGATGTAACTGAGCAGGAAGGAAGCCATGGTCCATGCTCACATACTGTGAATGGCAGCTTAGGTTTCTTGTACCCATCACAAGCATGTTGCTATGTTTGAAAAGCTGCTTCCTGCATTAATAGCCCCTTTATCAAAAGTCCTGTCTCTTGATCCAGCCTCTACAAAGTTTTAGTGCTTACTATAAATTAGAATTTAATTGGAAAACATTCTCATAAATACAAGTAATTGGGAAAATTAAAGTTATGATAGCTGCTTGTATTTTTTTTTTAAATTTAAGTCAGAAGAAAATTTAGTTTTTCTAACTAATCAATATTTAGAAAAGGAAATGAAGATAATGAATCACAGAAGGGGCTCTCCTTTGTGGTTAATTTTCCCACTAAGGTTTTCTGCTAGTGTTATTGGCTCTCACATACCTGTATTTTTTTCGATTTCCCTTTAGAAATGTGAGATTAATGTTCCTTGGCCATAGTTAAATCTGTACTAGTATGCGTTCCTAGAGCACTTTCTTTAGGAATGGAGTTTCTAAGTGGAAAATGAAATAAGCTAATGGCAGCACAGGCTGTCCAGGAAGGCATCTGCCTACCTCTCTTATTTTCATGTTTTAAGTTTAATGGAAGAAGCAATGGCCACACTTACATTTCATATCTTGGCGGATAGACATCTCATACTAGATTTCTGTGAAATTAATTCAACATTCATTTTTGAATTCCTTTGATCATGAAGTCAATCCACTTAATAGAGTTTTTTCTGTCCTGCTTCTTCTTAGTATATGTTTGATAGACCATACAGTAGAACATTGGAGGCGGAAGCTGACAAAATTGGACTACAGCTTGCTGCAAAGGTAAAGTGATCAATAGCTGAAAATACAGTGTCCCTCATACAGTTGACGGTAAATATGTGTTGTCTTGATGTTTGGCACAAGCGCAGGCCAAACATTAAGTCATGTGCTATGTTAACTCTTTGTACTACTCATCTTTATATTGCTATAACAAAATGCTGCAGGAATCTCAACTATAATAAAAGGTTTGTTGAGCCCACAATTGTGGAATGTCAAATGCTTGCATTGGCTTAGTTCTGGTGAGAATAGTAAATAGTGGCACATTATGGCATGATCATGTTTAGAAGCAAATCGGTTATGTCTAGAACCAGAGAAGAGAAAAAGAGATGATAATCAAGGTGGTACAGTCCCTTTTCAAGTGCACATGCTCAATGACATATGAAATCTCTTGACTCCCCTTAAAAGGGTCTGTCACCTCCCTGTAGCACTATGCTGGGGCTACACCTTTAGTCACAATGGACCCTTGGGGGGTTACTTAGACCCATCCACACCATAGTACTTTTTATAAATCTAAAATACTTGATTGTGTCTCTTAAAGGAATTAATGAGTAACTGAAAACATTCAACTCTCTTCTCCATATGCAGTTGTAATTGGCAGGATGTATTCAAAGTTTTAATCTTTACTAGAAAACATTTTTGCATGCATGAAATTTTTGTTTATAGACATGAAGTATGCAAATTAAAACTTCAAAAACATATGGATGTATAATGTTTTAGGCCCTTATTTACTATGTGTGCTTTCTGGAAGGCCAGTGCTGCCTCTGCTCTACACCCCTTGTTCCTCTGACCTAAGGGCATTTGGAGAAAATAACACCATGAGTAGCTGATTTCCCTCACCTGGAGAAGGTTACTCTTATTGCCGTCACAATCCAGGCTGTGAGCTTCTACTACTGAGATGTGTCATGAGAACAAGTAGGTCAGTGTAGCAGCTGGCTGGCTGTGAGTTCTAGGCACAGCTCTTGGACCTCACAGGTTTTGTGCTATTTCTCTGTTGGCCAGGAGCCTTCATCACTAATTAATATTTTAATTACCTGTGATAGTTGAGTTATCATTGTTAACAGAACATTTTTAAAAGAGTATAAGCTACACAGTTTATGTATTAAATTACAGTGTTACTTGGCCCTTTGTTGAGTTCCGAGTAGTTATTAATTATTAAAAGTCATTATTATTTGAACTGTGCATCTTAATGGACTTGACTCTGTAAATGATATTACGTATTTGCCAAAGTGAAAGTGTTTCTTGTTGAGTTAAGAAGGATCAGGTGAGTTGTCAGGCTCTGTACATTAAGAGGTTATCGAGTATGGTACAAAGAGCCAGTGTGTTTGGGCTCCTAATCTGAATGCACTGGTTTGTCAAGTTTCCCTTTACACGTGTTCTGTGCTACATGAGACTCAGAAAGACGGAACAGAAAAACTGTTATTTTTTTTTGTCATAACAGTTAATTGCCTGTTTGGAGATTTGCTCCTTTGTGACTAGTCATTCATAGCCCATGATCCCTATAGCTTTGTAACAGGGTTGGGACTATTACAAATAGCCCTGTCCTTTAGGGTGGTTCTGCAATGTGGAGTTGATGTTCTTGGATCTTTGCATGCTTGTATACATTTTATAATGTTCTCATTAAATTATATGTCCATTAAAGCTTGCCTGGGCATTTGATGGGGTAGCTGACCAGTGTCTAACACAGTGAATTTTCCTGTCTATGAATGTCATTTACTTAGTTGTTCTTTAATTATTCTTAATAAAGCTTTGAACTTGGTTTTGCATATCGGGATGACACATATTTTGTCTGATTTATTAAGTGTTTGATATTAAGATATTGTCTTTGAGAAACTAAATTTCTTGCCTGTGGAAATATAATTGACTTCTGTAACTGACCTTGTCTCTGGCAACCAACCCACCTACCTGTCTTTCTCCCTCCCTCCTCATCCCCTCTCTTCCCTCCCAATCAGTGTTTTCCCATCTTATTATTAGTGTAATGTCCAGAAATGTCAGCACAAGCTGATGGAGGATAACTTTTGTTTTTCCTGATCTTAGAAGAAGGAAATGTTTAGTTTTTCACATCTCATGGTTCTTGTAAGGTTTAGAGGCTGAATTAGCTATGTTCCTTTTGCTGTGATAAAACCCCATGACCAAGGTAGCTTATAGAAGGAAGTCTTTATTTGAGCTGAAGGTTCCAGAGGGTTAAGACCCAGTGTGGCAGGGAAGGATGGTAGTGAGCACAGCAGGAGCAGGAAGCCAAGAACTCAGATCTCAAATAGAGCAGGAAGTGAAGAGAGCCACCTGGAAGCTTTTAGTCTTAAAGCCCCAGTGACACACATTCTCCATGAAGGCTGCCCCACCCAAACCTCCTTACACAATGTGCAAATGCCTGAGCCTGTGGGGGCATTCCTCATTCAGTTCACATAGGGGCTGTCTGTCAGGTGCAAGAGTGTGCCTTTAGTGCCTCATGAAAGAATATTGCAGCTTGTCACATTTGTTGAATTTATTGAGATGGTTGTGTTTTTTTCCTTCAATCTGTTAATGTAGATTGACTACCTTGAAATTTTTATTTCTAAGTTAAGCTAACCTTTTGTTTTTGGAAATAGGCCTAGTTTTGTCAGTTTTAGTATCCTTTGATAAATGACTAGAATTGGTTTCCTAGTATTTTGGTTAGATGTTATATCTGTGTCTGTAAGAGACAGTGGCCTGAAATTTAGATTTTCAGGAGTGGTTTCTCTTGATTGCTCCCCTCATTCTCACATTCATGAAGTTGGCAGATTTCAAGATGAACCCTTTTAAGGTGGGGACTGTCTGTGTTCAAGGCTGTGTGTTTCCCTCAAAGAACATCCTTACCTGTCAGGTGTTGACAGACTATTTGTTTTTTGTTTAGTTTAAAAACAGTCTTGTTTTCTCTGTGATCTCTTCTTAGCTCATGGGTTATGTAGGGGGCTATTGCCTAGTTTTTGGACCTCTTGTCATTTTTGGTTATCACTTGTTTTTGACATCTTGCTCACATTCTCAGTGGAGAACATAGAGTGAGAAGCATCCTTGAAGCCATCTTGTCTTCTGTCTCAGTGTGTGATGAAGATTGCAGGGTGGGGTGTGTGTGCAGAGCTTCTGCTCTTGTAGACCCAGTGGTCTGTGGATGACTGTTTTGTCAAGTTTGTTAATTTTGTCGTTTCAACTCTTTTATTTAAGAGATTATTATTATTCAGCTATTTTATTACTTATTATTGTTCATGTTTTTCTTCCCCCTTTCTAGTTATTTACAGAGCTTTCTAGTCTTTCATTACGATTATAGAGTTTTCTTTATTATCTCTTTTTGTTTCTGTCATTTATTTCTTTGCATAGCTTATAACTAGCTATCTTCCTGGTAGATTGGTGCTTTTTTATTTTAAATTTTTAAAATTCATTTTACATACCAACCACAGTTCCTCTCCCTCCCCTTTTCTTGCTCCCCTGTAAGACCCTCAGAAAGCTGAGGCTTCCAGAATCTTAGCCCAGAACCTCGGCCACCCCAATCACAGAATGGAGGCGAAAGCTTGATGCAAATTGCATGAGGCTTTATTGTAGTTTAAGGAGCTAACCCCATGTTAGCTCGGGCCTTTGACCCACCCACCATGGCGGATGACCAGCAAAGACAGTTAGAAGCCGCTGTGTACAGATCTTTATAGGGCAGCGTAAGGGGAGTGTCTAGGGGTATGCACAGGCTCAGGATTGGCGTGCCTCCAGGCTTGGAGCGTTTGCCCTGTGTTGATTGGTCAACTGGTTGTTATGGCCCATAGGCCCTCCCAGGGTGGTTGCTATGCTCTCTATGTCATTGCTGTGTGCTTGTTCGTAAAGCACACCCAGAGTCATAAAGCATAGTGCCACCAGCTAACTTCTGATTGGTTCCTTGTCACGAGGCAGGCATCTGACTTTCTAGTGACTAACTAACTTTCGATTGGTTCCTTGTCACGAGACAGGCATCTGACTTTCTAGTGTCTAGGACAAGGTCATAGAAGCCCGTGTTCGGCCATTATGGCTGGTCCCTTCACCCCAACCCCCAAATCCACTCATCAGAAAGGATAAAGCCTCTTATGGGGAGTCAACAAAGCCTAGAATATCAAGTTAAGGCAGAACCAAGACACCCAGCACCCCATCAAGGCTGAGCAAGGCATCCCACCATAGGGAATGAGCTCCAAAAAGTTAGTTCATACATCAGGGATAGATCCTGGTCCCACTGCTAGGGTCCCCACAAATACCAAGCCATACAACTGTCACCCATATGCAGAGGGCCTAGTTATGTACCATGCAGTCTTCCCAGCTGTTGGTCCAGAGTTCATGAGCTCCCACTAGCTCAGGTCAGCTGTCTCTGTGAGTTCCCATCATGATCTTGACCTTCCTTGCTCATATAATCCCTTCTCTTTCTCTTTGACTGGACTCCAGGAGCTCAACCCAGTGCTTGGCTGTGGATTCATGCATCTGCTTCCATCAGTTACTGGATGAAGGCTCTATGATGACAGTTAGGGAAGTCACCAATCTGATTACAACAGGAGAATGCCATTTCAGGCACCGTCTCCATTATTGTGGAGTCCTGGGAATTTCACTATCACCATTTTTCCCCTAAACTCATAATGGCTCCCTCTTTCAAGATCTCTTTCATTGCTCTGCTTCTACATCCCTCCCCCAACTTGATCATTCTGTACCCTCATGTTCTCATTCCCCATATCTTTCCCTTTACACCCACCCCCTAGATTGATGCTTTTTTTTTTTTAATCAATGTAAAAATATTACTTGGGGCTGGACAGGTGGCTCAGTTGCTGCTCTTGTGGGAACGGAGTCCAGTCCATCCCTAGCATGCATGCCAGTGGCTCACAGCTCCCTGTGACTTCAGCTTTAGGAAATCAATTACCCTTTTCTGGCATCTGTGGGTACCTGTACTCATGTGCACACACTCCCACACAGACAGACAGACAGACAGACAGACAGACAGACAGACACACACACACACACACACACACACACACACACATACACACACA